CAAATCCACCACGACCTGCTGTCTGATAGTATTTGGACTTTTACCTCCCACCTCTCCCTTTGATTATGACAGCGAACTTTGCAATCTGATGCCTGGATCTGGATCCCACCCCCCACTCTCCAGCTATGTGCTCCAGCTTCCTCCTTTGTTAACTGGGATGGAGACTGTTTTCGTTTCCTATGGCTGCGGTAACAAATTACCACAAAGTCAGTGGCTTAAAACAACAGCGTTATTATCTTATAACTCTGGTGGTCAGAACTCTGAAATGGGTCTCGTGGGGCTAACATCGAGGGGTTAGAGCTGGTTCCCACTGAAGGCTCGAAGAAAGAATCTGTTTTCTTGCCTCTTCCAGCTTCTAGGGGAGGCCATAGTCATTGGCTCATGTCGCCTTTTGCCATCTTCAAAGCCAGCAAGGGCGAGTTGAGTCTTTCTCACACCCTATCACACTCTGACACTCTCCTGCCTCCCTCTTCCACCTTTAAGAACCCCAGTGATTACCTGGGCAAACCCAGATAAACCAGGATAATTCTATTTCCAGGGCAACTGGTCAGCGACCTCAACTCCATCTGCAACCTCAACTCCCCCATGCCACGTGACCTAACATATTCACAGGTCCCAGGGATACGACATGGATGTCTCTGGGGGCATCATTTTACCTAACACAATAATAGCAATACCTTCCTCTCAAGGTTGTTTCTAAATTCTTTCCCTTCCTCAAGATATGTAGTTCCGAAGACTGAAAGTCACTTAAAAGATCTCTCTACTCACTTACCCAACAATTACCCACTGAGTTAACGAAACAAAGCATATAAAGTACTTAGAGCCTGGTACCCAGTAAGCACTCAATAAATGCTACCCATTATCACTTCATGATCCATGTATTTTATAATCCCTTTTGGCCATGTGGTTGCAGCCACAAGAATCCACTTCATAGTCTGAACGTTCTGAGATCTGTCTTCCTAAAACCCAGCCAAGCACTGCTGCCTTTCACAACCATCAAGTCCAACACAACTTCCCCATTACCAACCTATGTTGTGTTTGTGTTACAACAGAAGTGGAACCGGAGCATGGCGGCTCCCCTCATCACGTCCCCCTAACTGCGAGGAGATAAAGCACCACGCGGGGCTGGTCCAGAACTCATGATACCATCTGGTCCCAACGGTAGAGCCAAAGCTTCCATCACTGGGTTTCTAACCTGTGTCCAGGCCGCAGCCTTCAGCCCCACCTGGCTCAAGGGTCTGCAACATGACCCCGAAACACGCTGAGCTTGGTGCTCTGTACTTTATCCCACACAGAGCCTTCCAGCAGGTCCCCAAGGCCAGCTGCACAGAACTCACTGATATTGAAGAAGGTGAAGATAGATTTTCCTTCAAGAAGATTCCATCCTCCATCAGAACCACACCTTTTATTTAAGGCGCTCACCTCTACTTCAGACATCATTGAGATTCCTCCAATGTCACAGAGAGAAGTGGGAGAACACGAAGCTGGCCGGGCCCCCAATGTTTGTTTCTAAGCCGCTACCCCGACATTGCTGATCATTACGTCCACTTGAGTCTAATGCAAGTATTGTCTTTTATCACATTTGGTTCTCAGTTTTTATGATTTTTCTCCTTCCTGTCTTAAACCGTTTTTCATATTCACAGGTTGGGCACTGAGGCCCAGAACAGATGCTCCCCTCTCCTGGGGTCAGCTTCACTAGTCCTTGCTGAGCCTGGAGTCCCAACCCCCTTCCATGTTGGTGCCAGTGACACACACTCAGCAGGCCTGGGGACGGAGCAGCCTCCACTCTGAGGTCTTCAGGTCCAGAGCAGCAAGTGGGTGCCGGGTCCGGCCTGCAGTCTTGAGTCTGGTGTGCGCTAGTCGGAGATCACACGGACACTTGGGAGCTGGCATAGCCATGAGTGGGAACCGCTGCGGGACTGGGCCTGGGGACTCTGAGGGCCCCTTCTCAGTCTCCTTCCCCAGGTACAAGAGGCAGGATACCCAGGGCATTCCATTTTCAGTCCAGACCTTCAAGATCTTTAATGAATACCTCCAGCCTTCGCTGTAAAGCCTCATTCCTTCCCAACCCTGGCAAGCAAACCCAAGCTCGATCCTCGCTGCAAGAACGCACTCTCTGGTGTGGTGCCGCGCACGTGCCTCAGTACACCCTAGATGGCAGAATCAGAGACCCCTGACCATGCACCTGCCCCTCCGAGAGCACGACCAGGATCCCTCCTCCCCAACGCTGCTGGACTACAGCTCATCCACGCTCCCCTCTATTAGGACAGTCTCATGCCTGCCGCCCAGCTGTGGTAGGGGCAATTCTTTCCTTTCTCAAAAGGCTGGGTCACATCCTCCCACTCATCGGCTCTTGACCACAATTTCCTTCTGTCGCCTCAGAAATCGTATTTTCTTCCTGGTGTCCTCTCAAGTTCTTTCATCTATCTAAGGACAATCCAGCCTTGCCAATAACCCAGAGGAAGAAAGGAGAGCACCTCTCACCTGGGCAGAGACAACTGACTGTGGCACAGCCCATAGTCTGTGGTTCCCAGAGCAGCGCTTAGCTTGCTTTCCTGCCCTAAATTCCAGTTCTCAGATCTTCAGATAAGCTAATAATCCTTCCTGGCTCCCTCTGAAAATTCCCCAGCACAACTGCAAGCCACTGCATGCCTTCTGGACTGTTTACGCTGCTCCTGGGTCAAGGGTGTGCTGGGGAGGCCAGCTCTGTCCCGTTCGCCGGCAATCCCATCGGCCCAAATGTCTCAGCAGCTACGCCCTCTCACCCCCACACCGGGCCAGGTGCTTCGCTGCCTCTGCGTCCTCCACAGCATCAGCACCACCAGAGGCGGAGAAGCCCACTAATCTGGCCCACTTCGTTGGCTTTGTCTTGATTCGATTTGGGAATTAAAGGCTATCTATGTTTATATTATGGTTAAGGAGATTATGACAAGAACACAAATGTAAATAAATGATGAGTAATTATACTAAAAATGGCATGAGTGAGGTTTCAGTTCAGTAAGAGCCTCAAAAGAAAAATAAAACAGGATAGTTCAGGGAATAAGGCACAATAACGGAGAATGAGATTAAGTGAGAGAAACTCAGAGTATTCTCTTTAACAGATGACAGCTGGGTACATTTTAACTAAAAACTCTGTATTTAAAATAGGAATATACACCGACTACACAAACCCTCGTTGATGAGGGAGCTCAGTTCTGCTATTCTGAAACCACTCAAAAGCTATAAAATTATGTTCCTTATTTCAGTCGGTTTAAAAAATAGGTATTAACTTCAAGAAAACAAGTCTTTAAAAACTGTAATCATTAGTGTTATCTTTCGGGTCGTAGAGCGTATTTTATACCAGATTACAGACAGGTAGGCTGGGCCTCAGTCAGTCCATGCGTCTAACTCAAGACTTTTTAGCAATTTTCATTTGATACGGATTAGAGATTATCAGTGGGAGCTATATGGGTTTCTGTAAATCCGGAGGCACTAAAACAAAATGGTCTCTGTGGAAGGACCTCTGCTCTGGGGGGGTGTCTCTGACTCTCCCACTAACGGGAAACCGCTCAGCAGGTCACAGGTCAGTGGGGAGGAGCCATCACTAAAGGGTACAGAGCATCAGGGACCCTGAGAGGTCTTGGAGCTCTGTTCCCGTGCTGCCGTCAGGCTGCTGTGAATAGACTCATTAGCCCTTCCGACAGAAGCATGTCTGTGACAAGGATCCGACCTATTCGTCGCCAGGAGTTTTAATATCAGGGTTACACAAATTTCAGTCAGGGTCATTTTCATTTAATAGCACTTTCCAAAAGAGCAATGGAAGAGCAGGAGAAATGCGTGCTCCAGATGTCAGCAGGCCCAGGAATCCGAATCGGTGCCCAAAAACCACCTGCTGGCAAAGCTGCCATCCTGCTCTCCTGAAGAGTCATCAGAGAGCACCAAAACCAAGTTCAGGCACACACTGGTGGGGTATTTACAGACCAGAGCATACAGCCTTAGTGGAAAAAAGGAAATAACATGCAACAAAGCAGAAAAAGAAAAAAAAATGTAACTTCTTCTGTTCGGTTTTCTACGAAAATGTATTTGAGTGCTATTAAACAGTCCATCTGTAGTCACCCTGAGAACCTCACTGAATCTTTGGCCGCTATTGGGAGCATCATTTTCTATAGACTCCTCTGGGTGATTCTAGAGAGAGTGGGACGCAAACAGTCTGTTTGGGAAGGTTCTGTGAGGTTCTGTTCATGTGAGCAGTGTGGGCTTCTCTGGCCAGGCCAACAGTCCCCTGCTCCCATCGTCACTGGACCCCCCAACCCCACCCCTGCAGGGAGGCTGGACGGGCGGTTCTCGATAGAGTGTGATACCTGCCATTCCTGGTATCGTGCTGCCGCATGTTCTTGATAAAATGAATCTTCTTAAAGTTCTTTGGTCTGGGCGAACCTGAGAGAGTTCGACATCTGAAAAATAAAGTCATTTCAAAAACACAGTCAGTTGCCCACAGGACAGCTGAGACATCTCCACACAAAGACAGGAAGGAAGACCAGACAAATGGTTTGAATCACCCCGAGGATAATGAGGACAATACGGCTGGAAGAGAGGAAGCTTTAAAAAAAAAAAAAAAAACAACGAAAGACAACTTCCTTGATAATCCTGATATGGGTCTCTGGAAAGCCAGCTAATGAAAACTATTGTCCTCACAGTTACAATAACATAACCTACATGGATTCCAAAGACATTATTCTTTCTTGTCGTCTTAAAAAGAATCCTCCTGTATCAACACCAGTAATGGGAACAGAAAACTGTGAATTTAAAGAATTTACAGGGGCAAGAAAAACACTGGAAAATTTAGTTTAAAAGCAACGCCAGATCATTTTTCTTCTGTAGCAGGACTCTGGCCTGAACCACCTGGACAGCTGCTTCAGTGCTTAACTTGACTATGCCTGGAAGTCACGGCTTTACTTGGAACAAGCCACTGTTTTCTCTTTCCTTTTTTCCCCAAGATACATTTTTAAATGAAGATTTGTTGAACAAACGGACTGGGATTCAAATTACTTTTTTCCTGGAATATATGACACTGCTTGCCCTACAGGACTAACAGAACACAACACAGGCTAGAAAGATCTTGTCTGTATTTTTTTTCCAAGTTACCTGGCAAATTCTAAAGTTATACAACTGCAACAGTAAGAAAAAGGGCAAGAAAAAGAAATCAACAAATAAGAGTATGAAGTTTGGTCTTGAGAAAGGGAGCTGTGATGTCTCTGTTTGGGTTTTTGCTACCAATTTTTTTGTCTACTTAAACCTTTCTGACCATTGGCCCCAAGGACTGGCTCCTGCCATGGGGTGTGGGTACTTAGGACATTAAGCTTCGAAGGGTGAGTTTTGGAGCAGCAGTGCCTGGCTTCCCAAAGCCACACTGAGCTCTGGGGTAGGGCCACCACCCCAGTTCAGTCAGTTCTGAACTTTGAGGCTTCTGGTATAAGACTAACAAGATGACCCAACAAGGAGGTACAGTTGAAGGCAGGTGGGCCGTGGGGGCATGCTGGGGTACAGGACTGGGAAACGGGCAAGGTCACAGACCTGCACAGCAATTCCAAGGGCGCAGCTCAAGGGAAACTGGGTGAAGTCCCTGGCCCAGACGTCAGGTGTATGTTCCCTCAAGCCCCCTTACCCACCCTCTAATAAAGACCCAGTTTTCCTAGAAGCCATTCCCTGGGAGTGCTGAGAATGAATTTTTTTTTTTCCTACTTGGAGAAAAAAAACATACTGAAGTGAATGAGTGCAGGCTAAAGGAAAGACATGGTATATTTGGTAGCTTTCATTGGGAAAACGGGGCTCCCCAGTCCTTGGGTCTAGAGAAGGAAAAGCCCCCCTTCATGTCCACCACATCAGAGCAGGGTCCATGGACCATGCAGAGCCCATGTGGCCCTGTAAGACACTTCAGCAGCAAGCACAGTCCTCCCTGCCTCTAGCCCCAAACTCACCAACTCTGCCACCCTGACCTATCACTAGTAATATTTCAGATCCCTCCTGGCCTTGTTGTGAGGATTAAATGTAAGGACATATACAAGAGATTCATAAACTGTCAAGTGACACATTCAAATACAAGCATTCACATTCATACATGTGTACATACATGTAAATATTTGTATACAAATCTCAGTGTTGTGATTATTAACAGACCATTAGCTACAAAGCATGCATACTTTGTTATTATTTGCTTTCTATATTCTTACAATTGTAGCTGTCACCAAGGGTCCTGAATTCTTGGTTTTAGAATCTTTTAAAGACCTGTATTTAGTCAATGTTTCCTGTGGCCTTCAGGCAGGGTTTGGACAGACAGCACCCATCAATCCCCCTTCCCACTGCAAGCTTCCAAACCCAGATTTAGCCTTACCGAGGTCCAAGGGCACGGAGCCTCACTCTGCCTTCTTGGGGCAGCTCTCTGGAAGCACACCCAGGACCCCAAACTGCCTCAGTTCTACCTCCAAAATGACCGTTTGAGTCTGCAGGCCACCCAAGGTCCCCAAATGTCTCTCACAAACAATGCAGAAGGTTCTAGAGACAGGTAGCCACTGGAGAGAAGAGAATCTCTGAAAGCATAAGGCTATGCTTCCACTGGTTTCTGGTTAGGGCCAAGTGTCCAGAAGTGTCCTCACACCCTTACCCTGCTTCTCCTCAAACAGCAGAGCTTCCTGAGCCAGCCAGCCAGAGGACAGTGGCCCAAGAGCTGGGCTGTGACAGGTTAGTAGGTACTCCCGCCCCCAGCAGCCCAAAGCTGGTACGGATCCCAGCCCAGAGGAGGGAAGACCTGAGTTTCTCTCCGCCTCCCGTGCCGTTACCCTTCAGGTTTGAGCACAAATATTCCCCGGCCTTCTGCTAGAACTGGAGGTCAGCAAAAGGGCCACAGGGGATTGTTGGCACTCACAGGGGGAGGAGGAGGTACCAGTAATCACTGAATGGTGCAGCAGCCAACACCCATCAACCCAGACAGGCCGGAAAACAGAGGCAGGTGGAGATGGCTGGCACATTCGCCACCACCAAACTGAGGATTTTCTGGACATCTCGTAGCAACGTCCTGGCTCCTTAATACTAGGATACCAGGTCACCAACGGGCAGGTGGACAACTCCTTAGTCTAAAGGCTCTCATTATGAATGCTTAACTCTTGGGAGTTCTAGGCAGGTGCGGGACACTAACTTACTAGCAAACTGTGATGTGCAAGAGAAACCAAGACTTTAAAAAAGAATGTATCAGCACCCAATTATAAGGGCATATGCTACTCATCCAGCCCCTCCTTTAGCAAGTTGTTTGTTGTCTTGCATTTTTTAAAGCATTCAACTAAACCACCAGGGAATCTAAGAAATGTTTTAAAAGAGAACTGTAGCATTAGCAACCATTGCCAAGGAAACCGGAAGAAGCGAGCACTCAGCTTGTGGCAGGTTAAGCAAAGAACGAATTAATTTCAGTATCCATTTAAAAACATACATCTTAAGTGATGCAAAATTAAATTAGGATAGAATTAAATTAAAAACTAATTTAACGAAAGATTAGCTCTTTCTTATTAGCACTGATTACAGCATACACTTAATTATGCAAAAGGTTTTTAATAGATGCCTTGCAGCCATTTGTTCAATGCGCTGAGTTTAAAAACAAGCTGGGCTAATAGCCTTCCGCCCCCACAGTTCCCAAAACACTTCAGTATCATTACTGGTACATTCATTTCACAAAATTGGGAGCTGGAAAGGACCTCAGAGAGCAGTCAATTTGCCCTCCCATTTTACAGATGGGAAAACTGAGGTCCCAGAGAAGCTAAATAAAATGTCTAAGGCCATGTAACCAGTGAGTAGAAGAATCAACCAAGAATTCAGGCCCCCAGACTCCCAAATGAATACCCCTTCTGCTATGCCATGCTAATTTTATTTCCTAGGAATAAGTACATTTCTAAGTTAGTTAGTTGTTACTTTTAATTCTATTATAGTTCCACACAGCGTTACATTAGTTTCGAGTGTACAATATAGTCATTCAACAATTCTGTACAACACCCAGTGCTCATCCTAAGTAAATATTAGATCTTTTTTTTTTAAAAAAGTCTATTAGGGAAAATAAAGCCTTCCCAAACTGCCCAGATTGCCTTGGCTTCAGACTTATTTTTTAAATTTTCTATTTACACAAGATTTGTTGGAAATTAAGTATAAATATTCTGTAAGTAAGAGTTGGATAAGTTATAGCTAAGGCAGATAAGCCCTTTCTACTGTGCCCACTTATAGTATCCGGCCACTGAAGGGTAGAAGGCAGAGGATCAGCTGGGTGGATTCTGGGAGGAGGGTACAGAGATGACGACGCGGCACGTGACCAGACATACAGCAGGGAGCTCCTCCTCGCCCTTCTCCTCCCCACCCCCCTTTAACTACCTGAATCCCTGAGGACAGAGTAACCTATTTTTTACCTGGTTTTCCTTGACTCACAGCTACCACACTGCTTTAATTGACACCTCTCACAGTCTCTCGAAACACCAGGAGCTTTCAAAAAGACTTCAAAAGTGGAAATCGGACTGGCTGGCCCTGACTTTGTCTTTGGAATGACATCAGCAGCAAGACTCCATCACCCAATACTCTCGATCAGATCCGCTGCCTGTCTATGCTCCACCTTCCATCCAGGTGGTCTGTGGACAGGACTGACCTGGGAGTAAAGCCCAAGGTGGGGAAGGGGCGGGCTCCATGATGAGAGAAGCCTCGGTCCACAGCAGCACTCTCTTAAGCTCAAAAGAGGAGCCCACACTTCCGAGTCCTGGCCAGGGGCCAAAGCACGAAATGTGCAGACGTGGATACCGGAAGCTGGTCGAGCCAATGGGAGCGTACGTTCTCCCGCGGGCCTCCCTCGGAGCAACCCGCGCGCATGCCCTGTGAAGCTGTGGCGCATGCCTTGTGAAGCCACGGCGCATGCCCTGTGAAGCATCCGCGTCCCATCCTGGCTTGATTCCTTCTGCCCGAGGAGCACCCCGCAACCAGACCAGCTGAGCCGCTGTGAAGACTAAAGGAGATGTGCTGTGTGAATACGGTCTCCTCCACTCAAGGAGGGTCAGGGGAGACCAAGGCACAGATGGGGGTCGGCGGTGAGGTACAGGATGAGAGCAAGGAAAGCTGCCGGAGGCACGGCACAGCTCAGCCAACTGCTGTCACCCAAACACCTTGCGAGCACCTTTCCAATCCCAATGGAGAAATCACTTTCAGCCCCCAAGGAAGGCCTCACAGCTATCCTAATTGAGTTTCCCCAGCAACTGGTGATGGAGTCATGTGGTAGGCACCTGCTAATGAAATCCAGGATTGTGATCACTGTGTCACTGCACCTAAGAAAGCTGGGACAATGATGGGCTCGTCTTCATCAAGCAGCAGCTTTGACATTGAAAAGGAAACAGCACCCAAATCCACCATGCAAACTGGGTTTTCCCAATACATAATTGAGATTTAATACTGCTCTAGTGGTCCTCAGGCTTGGGGTTTCCAAACTATGAGTCTGGGGATCAGGCCATCATTTAAAAAATTTAATTCTGTACATCAAGGACTTAAAAAAAAAAAAAATCAACCTTTGGCTGTCATATTGTACTGCAGGCCATTTACATACACATAAATACACCAGTAAAAACTTACCTCCGTAGAGGGGCATTCTCCTCAATATCTTCCAGAGTCTCCAAGGATGACCTCTGGGAGATGAGGCGACGTCTGCAGAAAGAGGGAAGAAAATCTAGAAGTTAAAAACCTCATTGTTAAATGGATCAGGCATTTCTGTAAACCTAAAAGTTCTAAAAAATAAAGTCTATTAAAAAGAAAAAAAAAGACTGGACAAAAGCTGTCTTTAAGAGGCTGCCATTTTCCCAGCCTGCACCCTGAATGCCAGGCCCATCTTGCCTTGCTGAATTCTGAGCATTCTCCCTGGTTAATAGTGCCACTTTATGTTGATCCTTTTAATGCTGCAATTTTCTCAAAAAAGACAAGATGCCTCTTATTTAACTTGGAAACTGTGTGCAGTTTTTCTAAAGCATTAGATAATACTGTTAAGTATTCAAATACCCCGTGGTCTGAACCAGGTTAACTGATAAATATTAAATTTTAAAATCGTATTAAATAAAATCTCAAAATCATTAGGATGCAATAAAAAAGTTATGGTCTCTGGATGGCCATGATTTCAAAAGCAACTAGGAACGAGGAAGACATTACTCCTTTGGGAAAGTTTCTCAGAGACCAGTAAGAATAGACACCAGGGCATGATTAGGCAAAACATGGACTCTTTGGGGCTGCTAAAGAATTGCAAACCACCAGCCAAAATCTCCTGAATCTAGTTTCTTTTGCCAGATTAAAATAAGAACAGGTCCTAGTTAACTGAGAATATCTGTTATAGGGACCAGGGTGGTGTGCAGAGGCTCGTAACTTTACAATCAATCCACTTGAACGAAGACCATCATTTCATAGTAAATGGTTTGGCCGAGGAAGTAGATAGAAAAAAATCCGATTGGGTTTTTATCTTGAAAAAAGGGGACTATAATGCGAAGGATAAGCCTATTTCATATTACATTTGATAAAATTAGGCTAAAGACATGCAATTATAACCATGTTCTAATTTGTCCTAAAGAACAACAACAACAAAATGAAATGAGTGTTCTTTCTTTTGTTTTGTGTGTACTTTTTCTGACCAACTACCCTGGAACCCTTTGCTTTATGTTTTACTTTTAATAAGACAATCAGAAAGGTCATTTTTGCAAACGATTCAAGGGCTTCATCAATTTTCTAAGTGCCTTTCTTAATCTTGATATCAATTCCTTTCCAAAAGAGTCATCACACCCCTTCTTTGTTCTTCACTGGTAAACTGGTATTCTCTCAGACCTTCATTTGTCAATGTGGGAGTACCAAGAGTTCTATAACATTACCTCCAGTGTCTTCATGACACACTGGATCATTTGCAAGACTGCAATGTCCCTTTGCACTTAACTTACATTGAATTTCCACTTCCATAACGTTCCCAGATTTCTAATAGTCAGCCAGACCTGAGGCAATGGCTGTGGGGAGACATGGGTCTTACCTGAGAGGGGTACACGGGGGCCCAAGGGGGTGGGAACTGATTTTATAGGTGGTCATTTTGTAGGTGGCCAATTCATTCATAAGTAGGGCTGTCCTGTGCAGCTCTATAACTCCAGGGACTCGGCAACACCAGGACCCCTGTGACAGGCCCTTGCAGCTGTGGCTTTGACCTGACCAGGCCATCAGTTGAAGCACAGCCCTTCCATGTACAGAGTCCCAGGCTGGGATAGGGCAAATGCCCAGTCAGTCACACTCCCACCTGTCACTGTTCCTAGGGATCGGGGGCCCCCACAGTCCCCAACGAGAGGCAGGCGCAATTCCACAAGCACGACGCATGCTGAGTCAAACAAATTCAGATTTCGGTCCTGGGGTTCAGAGGCTTTGGAGTCTTAGAAAACTCCTTAATCTTTGAGCCTCAATTTCCTCATCTACGAAACTGGAAAAGGAGAATAAGAAACATAGAGACAGATTCCCTGGCACAGGGCAAAAAATGATGGGTAGCTACTGGGTTTTTGACAACACTCCAGTTCCCCCCACTGAGGCTGCACCCTGACCTGACACCTCCCCCACCACCCCCTCATTCTGGCTCAACGGACTGGGATCAGCCTGGCTGTCCTAGCTCTGGCCCCTCCTCCAACCCCAGCCAGTAGCAAGGGCACCCCAAAATGGCTTATGCCTGAGCCCACCTGAGGCACATGCTCCTTTGACACCTACACCCTCTAGGAAGAACTGCGTGCCACCTTTGCTGATGCACTGGCCACCTGTAAAATTAGTCCCCCCAGGCCTCCTCCAGCATTTGGGGCTGCCTCCCCGCCCCTCCAAGAACAGCGTCGCTGGCACTCCAGCTGCAAATGCCAAGTGAATCCCAAGGTGAACATACAAGGCCCTGGCATGTAGCCTGGGACCCCAAAGGCTCTCGTCCAACACTCAGACCAGGATGTTCACCCTGGAAAAATAGGTCCATTCACAAAAGCACATAATCCGACAATTTCCCTATCAAAAAGCTGTATCCAGCTCTTCCTACACCAGAAAAGAAAGATGTTTACTTGGAAAATAACCAAATTAGAGGGGCATCTGGCTGGCTCAGCTGGTAGAGCATGCAACTCTTGATCTCAGAGTTGTGAGTTCAAGCCCCACGCTGGGTATAGAGATTACTTAAAATTAAAATCTTACGGGGCACCTGGGTGGCTCAGTCAGTTGCGTGTCTGACTCTTGATTTTGGCTCAGGTCATGATCTCAGGGTTGTGGGATCAAGCCCTACAACCAGCACAGTGCTCAGCTCAGAGTCTCCTTCTCCCTCTCCTCCTCCCCCCCACTCATTTGCACTCTCTAATAAATAAATAATCTTAAAAAAAAATAAAAGCAATCTGTATGCCCAAGGTGGGGCTTGAACTCACAACCCTGAGATCAAGAGTCACATGCTCTACTGACTGAGCCAGCCAGGTGCCAAGGATTTGTTTTCTAAAAGCCAGTAAGGGGCGCCTGGGTGACTCAGTCGTTAAGCATCTGCCTTCGGCTCAGGTCGTGGTCCTAGGGTCCTGGGATGGAGCCCCGCATTGGGCTCCCTGCTCAGTGGGAAGCCTGCTTCTCCCTCTCCCACTCCCCCTGCTTGTGTTCCCTCTCTCTCTCTGTGTCTCTATCAAATAAATTTTTTAGAAAATCTTAAAAAAAAAAAATAAAAGCCAGTACATCTGGGGTGCCTGGGTGGCTCAGTCAGTTGAGTGTCTGCCTTCAGCTCAGGTCATGATCCCAGGGTTCTGGGATTGAGTCCCATATCAGGCTCCCTGCTCAGCTGGGAACCTGCTTCTCCCTCTGCTGCTCTCCCTGCTTATGCGCACGCTCGCTCTCACTCTCTCTGTCAAATCAATAAATAAAAATCTTAAAAAAAGGAAAGAAAAGAAAAGCCAGTACATCTGATATTCTCTTCATGAATTGAACAGGTATAGATTCTCACACACACACACAGAATTTAAGGTCTGGTATCCTTAAAGGGAAGAAAACCCAAAGGCCAAATACCCACTTATTCCTTTAAATTCAGTGGATGTGCTTCCCTTCTTCATGAATGGAACCCAAGCAACATCCATTTGACCCTTGAACACCATGGGATTGACTGCGCAGGTCCACTTATATGTGAATGTTTTTGATAAATACAGAACAGTACTACAAGTGTATTTCCCTTCCTTATGGTTTTCTTTTCTTCAGCTTCCTTTATTGTAAGAATACAGTATATAATACCTATAACATACAAAATATGTATTCATCAGCTATTTGTTATTGGTAAGGCTTCCTTCTGGCCAACAGTCTACTAGTAGTTGTGGGGGAGTAAAAAATTACACGCAGATTTCCCCCTGCACACGGGACTGGGGGGCAGTGTTCCTAACCGCCATGTTGTTTAGGGCCAACTGTATATATTCTTTGCAAATGACATTATAGTCAAAAGGCGCCATGAAAACAAAGATGCAGTACCTAACCTTCCCACATAAAATAAGCCTTTGTTCACTGCCGCAAGGGCATGCCCTGTGGTGTTAACCCAGGGGTGCTCATCTCTGCCTCTTGCCACTTGCTAGATCCTTCCAAGGTGTGTAACAACCTCTCCCTTTGCATTCTATCCTCAGAAAGCCCAAAATGGAAGAGAAGGCTCAGGGCAGGGAGCCAACCTTCACCAGGCACTTTTCACCCTGCAATCCTGCCTCATAAATGAAGTCCATTACTATGCAAAGTCCTCATCATTGGGCACAGTTAACAAGCAGAGGTCTTCGCATGTTTAAATGACTGACAATACATAGCCTTCTTATTAAGCAAGCAGACATTAAGTAAGAGCCCAAGCATTACGTTTCGACATCATCAAATGGGAAGAGGCCGTGACTGGTCCTTCAATTGAGTCGTCAGGCTTCCCTGCCTTGTCTGATGGTTACGATTTGGGCCTTTCCACACTCGCTGAATACTTTTGAGGCCAATGTGGCTCACATTCAATGACTATACACACCAGCTTCCCTAAAGCCCCCAGACTCATTTGAGAACATTATCTTTTGAAAGCTGGACTCTGTCTAGACAATTAAGTGCTAATCCGTGACAAGACTGCTTATCTGGATACACCTACCTGGACCAAATTAATCCACTTATCATCAGGGCTGATGGTTCATTGCAGAGCAAGTCACTGTGTGCTCCTGAGACTCAGGGCTGGTTATAATGAATCCACTTAGCTAAAACTTAAGAAAGGTCACTGGTAGAAGAGAGGGGGAAAAAAATCACATGGAAAAACATGTGAGTGGGGTAACAATGGACTAGACGAGGCAAGACCCAGGCCCAGTATTTGGAAAGTGTCTTTTAGGCACGAAAGTGTCAGCGCAGTAACAATGAGTAACTATCCACACAAGCTGACGGAGGTAGGGCAGCTGCCCGGCCATCCCGAAAGGCCTCCTGGCCATAGCTCTTGTCAGCCCAGTTGGCAGTGATGCTGGGGACCCGAGGAGAGTGAGGGGCAAGGTGGGAGCTCTGCCCCGGGCATCTTCATCAGAGCTTCTGGAAAGGGGTCGTCTCTTAGTGCAGTAAGCAGAGTGCCTCTGAGAGAGAGCTGATATGGGCAGGGGGGTAACTGTCAGACAAGCCTCACCAGAGCTGGACTCTGAGCTCGCTGCTGTCCCCGC